TCTGCCGCGCCATGTGGTCACCTCCGGGGCAGGCGGGAATCGAACTCATGTGGAAGCGGCTTTAGATTCTCAGTGCTGTGCTTTAACCAGCTGCGCCACCAGGGAGGACCAACTATTTGGATATTTAAGACAATGTTTTTATTTTAAGGAAACATACAATGAGGTATTTAAGCAAAAGACATCATTACATCTGTAACTTTCCCCCACCCCACCCCCCAACCCATGGCTCAAAAAGAGAGTATAACAAAGAGGGGGAGAGGAGGTGATAAAATACACTGTAAAATGCTGACATCTTAGGGCACCTGGGTTTTTAAGGATTTTAATAGAGTTCTCTGCATTATTTGTGCAACTTTTGTAGATTGAAATGACTTCAAAACCCTAAGTTTACACAATTTTTTCAAGAATTTCTGGTTTGTCTAAGTTGCCCTTTAATAGCAAAACTGTTTGTTTTTTGTCTCTAATTGATCTCTTTGCCCAGTATTTTCATTCACCTGTCCAATCTATACTTACTCAGATCCCACCACCTGCAGGCAGCCAGGAGATTAACCAAAGCTGGTGATCAACAACCCTTAGCTTCACCAGTGCAGTGAGGGAAAGCAACATAAACGCACACTGAGTGCCAGGCCACTACATCACAGTAATACTAGTGGGCCCAGATTTGAAGCAGAGGTTAAAGCCTCCAAGTCTGTCAGCAGAGATCACAGAAGATTCTAGAGCTCAAGATAAGCCTAAGGAAGTTCCTCTGGCCAAAAGGAATGAGAAAAGCACTTCAGAAAGAAGAATCAGTACGTGGCAAAATGCCCCCTGGTGTGAAAAGCATGCATTGCTGCTCTGAATCCTAACGTCCTTGCACTGAGCCCAGCGCTCTGTTGTGCCTGAGCTGTTCATCACTGGAGTCTAATGGAGAGTCGTGATGGGCATGCAGAGAAGGAGTGGTAGGCAACTCGGCTCTCCTCTAGTAAGAGAAAGTAAAATAACCACCACAAGGCTGGTAGAGTGGAAGGCTCAGCCAAATATTTTGAAGTAAAATGAACAGTAAAGGTTAAGGAATATATAGTGCAAAGAAAGAGAGGTCTAATTCTCAGGTGTGTTTTCAGAGACTAGATGAAGGTGGTATATACCTACGTTAAGAAATACAAGAGGAGAGTCAACTTTAAGGGGGGAAACAAAAGAAAATTAGGTTTTAAACAAAGTTTGGAGGTTGACGGACCACCCAGGTGAAGACACTAAGCGTCTGGATGTAAAGGCCCAAAAGAGAGATGCACGTCTTCTTAGAAACCCATGGGGTGTGTGGGGAGTGGTAAAACCGCGAGAGTTGACTAGACACTCTACAGGAGCAAACATGATGGTGTTGAGGACGACAATGCAGCTAAGATAGGCTGGGGAGCAGCAGAGTCGGCCCCAGGCCTGAGAGCCCACTGGCTCTCCTCCCTTGGGCTAATGCAATTGTAGTGTCCACCTCTGGAGGCCTGTCCACAGAGCTAGTCTGACCATTAATAAAACTCCAAAAGAGCTTCACTTATTTCTCTTTTTTTGCAACAGTAAGTATCTCTTTAACAAGTCAGTAAGTGGGACAACTGGATAGCCACATAATAAAGACTAAAGTTGGATCCTTATCTTAGACCATAAAATTAAATTTAAATGGATCAAAGACCTAAATAAAGGAGATAAACTATATAACTTTGAAAAGAAAACACAGGGATAAAATCTTTATGAACTTGAATTTGATCTTTATGTCACTTTAAATGTGACAGCTTAGGAAAAAAATAGTAAGTTACATTTCGTCAAAATTAAGAACCTTTGTGCACAAAAAGATAATACCAAGAAAGTGGCAAAGAGACAGCCTGTGGAATGAGAGAAAGCGCCTAAGATGAAGAATATATGAAGAACTCTTACAATTCAACAACAAAAATACCACAATTTGGGAGCTTCTATATGACCCAGCAATCCCATTCCTAGGTATATACTCAAAGGACACAAAAACACTGATTCAAAAGGACACCTGCAGCACCCTCCATGTTTATTGCTGCTCTATTCACAACAGGGAAACTGGAATCAACCCAAATGTCCCAAAATAGAAGACTGGATTAAAAAGATGTGGCACATATACACAATGGAATATTACTCAGCAATCAAAACAGATAAACTCATGACATTTGCAGCAACATGGATGGAGCTGGAAGGGATCATACTTAGTGAAATAAGACAGAAAGAAAAAGAAAAATACCAGATGGTTTTACTCATAGCTGGAGTGTAAGGAATTGGGGGGGTGAGGAGGAGGAATAAAGACAAACAAATGTAATTGAATAAAAATGAAAACAATAACTAACTATAAACCAGAGACATTTCATGGGGGTGGGAGGGGGTCTGAGATCGGAACTGGGGTGTGAAGAGTGCACTGGACTGTGGTGATGGTACACAGGTGAACTGGTGGTGCAAAGCCCATGGGATTACAACTGAGATGAAAAAATACACAAAATGAAGAATGATGTAAAAGGATAAAAAATGTAATAAAAAAATTTTTAAAACTGTATTATTATATCTTAAAAACATACACATACACAATTTGAAAATGGGCAGAGGACTTGAATAGATATTTTTCAAAAGACACACAAGTGGTCCACAGCACATGAAAAGATGTTTTGTATCACTTGTCATCTGCAAAATGCAAGTCAAAGCCACAATGCAATATCACTCCATACCCTCTAGGATAGCTAGAATCAAAGTCAGATAACAGAAAATGTTGGTGAGGAGGTAGAGAAGTCAGAATCCTCACAAGCTGCTGGCAGGAATATAAAATGGTAAAGCAACTTTAGAAAATAGTCTGGAAACTCCTCAAATAATTAAACACATGACCCAGCAATTCAACAACCCCAATGTCCATTAGCTGATGAATGAATAAACAAAATGTAATATAATTTGTTTGACAAAATATGCTTGACAATGGAATACTATTTGGCCATAAAAAGGAACAAAATACTGATCTATACAACAACATGGACAAACACTGAAGCCACTATATTAAGTAAAAGAAAGCAACCACGAAGATCACAGGTCACAGGATTCCATTCACAAGAAAGTCTACACTCGGACATGTATATACAGAGAGGAGAAGAGTGGCTGCTAGGACTGAGAGGGAAGAGGACCTGGGGGGAGGCGCTAGTGACATGGGGCTGGAGAAGTGATTTCTCAGGAGAGCAAACAGCAGGGAGTGCATAAAAGCACGTGGCACGGGAGAGAAATAAAGAGTAACTTGGAATGGGATGCATGAGGAAGGAGATGAAATATAGTGGAGAGGCTGGAAAAGTGGCCATGCCCTTTCCAAGGTGTTCAGATTAATCTCGACAAGGGGAAGCAGTGGTGAGGTAATACACGTGTAACAGACCAGAACTGTAGATCAGAGTAAGAGTGCAGCATGTGGGGAAATAACTAACCAAGGAAAGCCTGAGGGTAGAGACACTAGTAAACAGGTCCCTAGAAAACCCAGCTGAGCCTGGTCTGCACCATATCAGTGGCAGCAGATGAACAGGAAAATGCAGTACTTCTAAGTGATTTGGGACGGGGGTTCTAAATATGAGCGAGAAGAGCTTGGATCCAGCCAGTTTAGTTGAAAATCAGGATGATGGCACTGTCAGTCTGAGAAAAACCCAGGAGCGGGGCTAAGAAAGGGGAGAGTGAGGCACCTATCAGACTTCTACGTAGCAATTTCAGCCAAAAGACATCAGAAAAGGATCAGAAGAAGAGTAGGGACTGGTGGAACAATTCTAAAATTCTAAATTTTAAATTCTAATTTTAATTCTAAAATTCATAGCCCCAGGAAACACTGATGAGACTGGGCAGAGCAGCAGTTCTCAAAGTTCGGTGTGCAGCAAAACCACCTGTAAAACTAGACTGCTGGCTTTGCCCCAAAATTTCTCATTTGGCAGGTCCACAGTGGAGTCCAAAACATCGTGTCCTTAACCAGTTCCCATTACCTTAACCAGGTAATGATGATGCTCTGAATATTAGTAGCGTAGAGCAAAAAGAACGGGAGCTCTGGAACCCTGAAGAACACTAAGGGCAGGAACCAAGTTTCAGTTGCTGGCAAGACTCAGAAGAGGCCCAAAGCGCAGCGGGGGGACAGGCTCAGCTCCGACTGCGGCCCGCTGCAGGGAAAGGACTGCACTCCAGAGCTTTACTTTCTTCTGCTGCCTACCAACGAAGTGTTACATGCCTATTTCTTAGAAGCCAGTATCAAGAAAACATTCTATGGCAATGATTTTAGAATTCAGAAAGCAGGCATCAAAGCTGACAGCAAAGATCAAAAAGCAATGGCAGCGTGTACCCCCCAGTGCCATCACAGGAGACCAAAGAGGCCACTCAAGAGAGGACACAGTCCTAAACCTGAGTGAGAGCCCCGCTGCGGACAGGGGCGGTTAGGAAGTAAGGAAGTCTCACTGAAACAGAACCTACTTCCAGGGACCGGATCATCATTAACTGTATACACAGCACCAAAATGTGTCCTATGTATTTTGCTACAATTGAATAAAACTACATTAACATGTAACTGACACCTAAAACGGTAGACAGTTGCTGAACCCGCAAACACAGGTAGAATGATAGAAAATAGACTCTCACTCACCTCTTTGGCTGAGGATTCCTTCAGGCCTAAATATTTCTGGAGTCTCAAAGGCAAAAATGCAGTCACTTTCGTGGACTGTTTCCAGGTCATCTGTGTCACAAAAGGAACGATGGAACCCATCATAGTACATCTCTGTTAGCACGATCTGAGAGTGAGGAGAACACAGAGTCGGGAAAGTCACCAGACTTCACCTCCTGGTCCTACTTCGAGCTCCCCCACATCTTCAGGCCCGTGCTGACTGCGAGCCCCTCAGAGAGCCCACACTGTCTGCCTGTAGGAAGAGACTCCTGGAAGCGCAATGGCCTGTGTGTATGTACCACCACACTCTGATTTCAGAACACCATGGCACTAAATCCAGAGTGTCCCCAAATGTTGAAGAGCCCCAGGAGATTACAAAACCTTGTTCCCTTCAGGGGGAAGAAACTAAAGAGGGGTGGAGAGGCTTGCCCAAGGCTATACGACTGGAGCTCAGTCGGACTCCAAAACTCGGTCATTTAACTTTCTTCTTTTCAAGTCAAAATATGTGCAATAACCACAGATATTTTAGTGGGGGGGAAAGGGAATCAAGTCAAATGTTCCACACCAAGAGCCAATTACATTGTACCTGACTGAATTATAAAGTTACTTCAAAGAACTATACCTATTTATCACTAATGAAAAGATGCCCTGAATAAATGAAAGAGTGATATGTGTAATGATTCCACTTCCGCAAAATAGCAAATACCAGATACGCACAGGGGAAAACACGGATGAATATGTAACAGTGTTAGAGCTAATACTAGACGTGTACTTTCATTTTCTGAACTGCTTGTGAAATGGGGAACATTTTACAATGAAACATAAAAACAAAAGATGGGGGGGAAAAAAAACAATGAAAACATTTAGGGACTTCATTTCATGCTCAGCAACATTGTTCAGTGAAAAGCTCTGGATGTGACATGAGAGGTTCCAGTCCTGCCCTGCCACCAGGCAGCCCTGTGAGCTTGAAGCAGTCACATGACTTTCTGGGCCTCCTTCAGATTAGGGGGCTGGACTGGACCTCTAAGCCTCTCTACTAATGCAAGCAGCGTAAGCCTATAAAGTGGCATATTCCACAAACAATCCAAAAATATCTGACACCATTTTCCTACTAATGATTTTAATAACCATGCTGTTTTTCTGCAGATGAACATGTCAGTATAATCCACTTTCTCCAGCAAGCTGAGGTCAAAATCAAACTTATGATTATATCACCCACTTAAACTACTTGCAAATAGAATCAGGCAGCACTAGAAACTTTAAAGATACAACTGGGTTTGTCCTAGACACACATCTAAGTCTCTCTTTTCCCTCATCGTGAAGGGAAAAAAAAATCAGTAAGCTCTTCAAAGAAAGAAAGAGTATGAATATTTTGTCAATGCACCAATACTTGCCCTATGAAAATTTGAGCTGTACTCTATTAGGGCAACAGCACTGGTTGTATTTGTTTTACTTTGGTAACTTCCCAAATGAGGCCACATGAGGCCAAAGTACAAAGCACCTTTATTATTCCGGTGACTGCACAGCATTTTCTCGAAACTATCCAGGGAAAAGCTATTTAGCCACTAAATGAATCATCTTAACTAAATCTTAAATAAGAAATGTTTTTCAAAGTAAAATCATAGTGAAATGAGTAAAAAAGTATGCAAAATGTGAAGTCGTAAACAGGCTAACAGTGTTTTCGGTCTATTTAAATGTAATGCCGTATCATTAATTTACCCCCAAAAGATAGGAGAGGGCCACAAGTTTCTTTTCTCTCATCTGGACAAGGTAAGAGCTTTGGACAGCTGTCTTCAAGGAACAAACCCAGCTGAGCACCATGACGGAGAAGAGCTTTGAAGAGCCACTGACTGAAACTTCTAAGCCTCTATGAACTTCAGGTATCACAGGATGCTCTTCCTACTGCCCACATAAGCACCCATAAGAAGGACTTATGGGGGGTTAAGTAACTGTGCTTTACAAAGGTCTTGGTGTAAAGTCACAGCTTCTCAATTTAAAAATATACATAGTTACATTAAGCATGAAAAGTTTTTATGTGTATTTTTCTCTTTTGGGTCTTGATTTCTTCACCCTTAAAGATCACTGGAAGAAACTGACCTTAAATTTCTATCTAATCATGTTTGGCAGAGAACTGTTAAGAAATTCCAGGAGAACAGAAAGCAACACTTTTGCAGCTCACATGTAATCCATCTTAGCAGACTTATTACCTGATCAGTGGGGATTTTTGTTTCCATAGACACTGCTTCCCGAAGTCTGGCAACAGTCCCAGACAAAGGCACGGCCACGCCAATCCGCATGCAGTGAGAGCATTTCCCTTGATACACTACGGTGACATAGAGAGGCCTGTACAGATCAAAGTCAGATTGTCTCATTAGTCGCTTATTTCAACTAAAATATAGAAAGCAAAACAAACTTCATCTGAAATCACACAAAACTGAGGCTAACCCACACCTTTACCTGATTCAGTCACATGGAAAAACTGCATTTAAACCTAAGTGAAACTATCAAACAATAGTCAGGAGATATTTGGAAGGCCCTCCATGGTGGCGCAACGGGTTAAGGTGCAGCACTGTGAAGCTATCTGCAGCCACAGCAGCTCTAGTTCAATCCCCACATGGCACAGACCTCTCCTGACCCACCCACTGCTCCCCTCAGCAGGGTATTTCAGTCAATCCACCTGTTCTGCTCCCCACTCTGTCTCTGGGGAATCCTCTGACCCCAGCACCTCAGGCTCTTTATGCATAAATAAATCTTTAAAAAAAAAGAGCGCGCGTGAGACTTAGGAAAGGCAATCATCATTAAAAACTTTTTTCTTCAAAGCAGCATAAACTCCTAGAGTAAATCTTAAATTGGAAATGTTTTTCCAAATAAAATCAAAGTAGTGCACTGAGTAAAATTAAGGTCAAGTCACAAATAGGCTAACTGTTTTTTCTCTAGAGACGAGAAGGTAGGAGCCAGCCTTCCCCTCCCCACTCGCAGAAAGTAGCTGACCAGCTAGACAGACTGGCCAGCCCACCACCTGCTCATGCTGCAAACTCAGAGCTCCATTCATCTCCTACCCTGTTATTTACCTAAATAAATAAGAGAACATAACAGGAGCCCACAGAGGAAGAGGAACAGTGCACTACCGGAATATACAGTCTTAAGTTTATTAAATCTGTTCTTACCTTGTGTGGGGTAGAGGAATTGGCAAAGAAATGCAGAGGAAGGGGTCAAAGGTGTTGCTCTGCTTCTGACAATGAGGACAAGTCAAAGAAGATCTTCAAAATCAAAATGGGAAACATGGTAAGACCACTAGAATTATGTCAGATGAACCACATAAAGGAAAATCGGATTTGCTCATACCTGTACTGGGCTTGAAAAAGTTCCTGTACAAAAGTGCTACAGACTGGAAATGATGGTCCCTCAGGCAGCAAGTCGGTCTCAGATGGTGGCTAAAGAAAAGAAAGTACAATTCATAGACTCAAAGCACCAAATTCTTGATTGAAGATGACCCTTAAAAAATCACAAATACCTGTGACTTCCTTCAGAGACTACGTGTTAGGCCCCGAATGCAGGAAAGGCCTCTGCCCAAGGAAGCAGACACAGCTGCCGGACATGGCCACAGGCTAACCTGTGCATAGGCCCTCCCCAGCCAGCTTCCCCTCTCCACCCCATCCAGGCATTGGGCACTTTCCTCACATCAACCAAATGAGGGCTGCAGCTCCTCCCCTTGCTCCAACCACTGAGTGCCTTGGAGGCAACTGCTGCTCCTGGCCACCCTGCTAGGGCACCTCCTCACCTTCAGAGGAGGCTGGCCACTCTGCTTCACAGCATGATTGAGGTCTTCATGAACTCGGTCCAAAAGCCACAGCAGAAATTCCTGGGCATCGTGCTGGGAATTTCCCCGGTACTGCAATGCATTCTTTGATACAATACTCTAGACAGGTAAACAAATCAGTATGAACAGTTGGGAGTTCCTTGCTTTGGTAATAAACCCCTCGTAATCTCAAAGAGGGGCACAAGTGTGTTACAGAGTAGTTCCAGGAACGGCTCTTTTCCAGTAAAAAGAGGTGTTCACCCTACCAGGAACATGTCCCAAAACTTTAAATGCACCTACTATACACAATCCCATTTACAGGAATACCTCTAAAGGAGACTATTAAAATAGCTGCCAAACTTCAATGTAGACATTTATTCATCAGGCTTTGTCATAGCAAAAAACTGGTAATAACTTAAGCATCTTTAAAATGAGAAGTGGTTAAGTAATGAACTCAATTTTGGGTTATAAGCCAAAGTATAAAATAAGTAAGTCTATACCAATGTCAATTACTGGCTATTCAAATTAAGTAAGTGTATGGGAGAGGGGAGGAAAGGGAAAGTCTTCCTTACAATGAATTCCAAAACCCTAGTGTGGGGGTGACCCCTCCCCGAAAGCCACTACCACCAGGGCTGAGCTGCCTCTGTGAACCTGGGCTATGAAAGAGCAGTGAGCCGGTACAGGCTGTACCTGAGCTGGCTAGTTAGGACCATGGAACCTGGAGCACACAGCCTGGAATCAAATCTGTCCCGCTATTCACCACTTGTGAGGGCTGGGCCGACTCCTCCCAAAGTAATAAGGACAGTAATCATTTAGTGTGATAGGTACCTGAAAATGCCCGCAAAGCATTTCACATGTAAGTGCAGTATGACTTGAAAGCAAGACGAAAGGAGGGGAGACAACTGCACAAAGGGGGAGCAGTCAGAAGACAACTGAGATGAGGAGGCAAGAAGTAGGGCCTCAGCTAGGGTACTGAGGTCAGAAATAGGAAGGCAGGTCTGAGATACAGGAAGCAACGCAACAGAATTAACAGGATTTGCGACGTAATGAATGTGCAGAAAAGAGGAAAGAAGCATTAGAGTTATCCGAGTATCTAATGGTCTCATCAAGAACAAATAAAATAGGACGGGAAGAGGGTTAGGAGTTCTCTTCTCAATTCCCAACATCTGAAGTTCTGTTGAATCTTCAATCAGAAGTGTCTGGTAAAAACAGAAAATCTAGAGCTGGGGCTCCATGGACAATGTGTGTTAGGGGTAAAGATTTGGGAACCACTAGGCAGGTGTGGTAAACAGTACGGCTCACACTGTCCAGAAATAATCATAAAAGAGCAAACAGCCCTCAGAGGAGAAAGAGAATGCGGTCAAAGTGTTTTGTCAAAAATTCGGGAAAATGGAGCCCCAAGAATCAAGAGGAGATAGCTACAAGGGAGTGATGGAAACTGTCAAAAAGTTGAAGAATGATACAGGAGCCAAAGAACTAAACTTTCAGCCTGCCCCTCTATTTTCCAATAGAGTGACAGCAGACCAAGATAAGAGTCAGGTTTGTGATTTAATCATGAAGCAAAGACCTCCAGCTCGGTGGTCTCTTTAGAGGTGAAGGATGATAAAAAGTTAATTTTCAAAAAATCTGGAGGTTCAAATTAAGGGGGAAGAACAAAGGGATATAAATGAGAGAGAATGTGGCAGTACCCCTGGCAAAATTAAGTAAGTAAGCTGAGCCAGGGAGAGGAAGGACACCAACCAGAAACAAGGCTTCAGTGAGGGAAGGGTGCCGCTGGGCTGTCAAATTAAAACGGTGCACAAGAGGAGGAATCGGTGTGGGGAAAAGCCTTTACCACTTACAAAACTTCCCCCAGAGGTCAGATGCTCCCCAAACCAACAAATCCAATTTCTTCTTAGTAATCTTCCTCAATATCCCTATAGCAAGTTATATACTTGACATCTTACTCCACCTTGAATGGTTTGACTTGAGGTCTTAACTGTCGTGTAGAAGTATATAAACCGGAGCCACTGGTTTGCACAATGGAAGGACGTGAGCTACAGCAGAGAAGGTTTCTAGTGGAGAACACTGATCAGTAAGAACATCAGCACTTAAGGTGAAGAGAATCAGGCGACTGGTGAGCCCTAGGAGCTCAGCCAGGAGAACCTCCAGGTAGAGGAAGCAATGATGTGACCCACAACAGAAAAGCATGACAACACTGAAGTCCTTGGGAATAGCAAACGAAAAGGTTGATTGCCTATGTGATTTCACTGAAGCAGAGTAATGATCAGAGAGGTAGAAAAGTAGAAGTGGAAATAAAGCTGAATGGTTGCAAGGAGACCACTTTTCCCAGCCTAGAAGATTCCATGCAAAAGAAAGGAGGGCAGAGGGGGTGTGCATGCTGAGGGAAGACGCTAACAGAAGGGCGCTTGGAAAATGCTTCTTCAGTAAGGGAAGAAGGTATTCAGAAAAGATATAGAGCAGAAAAGAAGGAAGGAAGGAGAGTCATGGATTCAGATGAGTGATATTAATGAGATAGGAAGGGAAACTTCGTTCTTGCTAGTTTGTTTTATTGTTTGTTTTGAGGAGGAAGCAGAGGCCCACCGCCCAGAGGAAGTCTTAGGTATAGCAAAGGTAAAGGCCAGGGCACTTGAGGCACAGGGAAGGTGGAAACAGCAAACTTCTGTCCAGGACCCTCTCACTCACTGCCAGTGTGGGGGCAGGGAGGGACAGGTGCTCAGGGTATGCACCCTAATAAACAAATTCGCTGAAACCAAGTCTGTGTTGTGTTTATATACAGCATCTGACAAATTTCACGACGGAGACGTTAATTCTTTATTAGGACTGCACTCCATGTGGTCTCTGCTTCCTGTCAGTGTCACTTCAATTCGTCCAGCATCTACCCACCAACCACTGTGCAGTAAGCACTGTGCTAACAAGGCTACTTACTCAGCAGGACTTCTGCTGGGCACGACCAAACAGGCCACAGGACTTCACCACCCTCCGGAACTGGGGCAAAAGCTGTGCTGGGTCAACCCCACCCAAAATCACTGTATCACAAACAAAAAGGAATTTTACAGGAAACCTCACTGAGCACACAACACACACGAGTGCTCCTCTTCCACTTTTAACCCCTTCACAATGACTTCCTCCCACTACAGATAACCCAGGGACTATTAACTCCAGTTTTTCTCTAGATGAAAAGTAGAACAATCAAATATCTATCTTGAGTATGTCTTACAGAAGAAAGGAAAATACCAGAATCTAAGAAACCTGGGTTTATGCCCTGGTTCTGCCCCAAACAAGTATTTAACCTAAGGCAGCTCGCTGAACTCATGATCCCAGGTTTCCAGGACGCACGACCACCACACTCCAACCCTTGCCCAACTTCTTCCATATTAACACAGCAAGTGGTGTGGTTTTTGTTTGGGGCCACCTCTGACACTTACCACTCTGTTTATGACAGTTTTCATAATCAAAAGCCTAACTTGATGTCCTAAAATTAATCCTTTTTTGCAGGTTTTTTTTTTAAAGTTGACTATCACTGGACGATGTGATCTAAAACAGAAATATTACTATACCTAATAAATCATTTAAATATGTCACAGCTATGAAAAATAAAGAGTATGACCTGTATTAAACTTAGCCTCATTATATAAATATGCAATTCATATAATTTATAATATTGCAATTTACAGAATTTAAACCATACCTATTGACTTAAATCTTATACATCTTGGTATTCTAACATGAGATAAATCAAGTACAGGTATCCCCTGCATTCAAGTTCTCATGATCAAATTTATAAGTGAATTTTCCCCTACCCCCACTTCCGCCTTAGAATGACTCTTACCATCCAGTAACTAAATGATAAAGTGGAAGTCAAAACACATTTATAGGGTTTTCAAATTTCATATGATTTCTCTTCACCCTTCAAATAAAACTTTAAGGCCTAGAGCTACAAACAGAACATTTTTTTCCCTTAAAAGAAAAATGTTTTTTTCCTTAAAGGAAAAAAAATAAATAAATAAACGAGGTGGAAACATGGCCCAGAAAAGAAAAGTTGAAGTCTGTCCAAATGGAGTTATAAATCAGACATGTAGTTCTTCCCAGCCACAGGACCCTAAGAAAGCAGCAGCAGATTTGGGCTCTAGGGGAAAAAGAGGATTAGTTCAAGACCTCCTCTACCTGAAGCCAGGAAGGCCACAAAGCAGTGACCAGGGTGGTTTCCTCAAGGGGACTGAGCGCGGTAATACTGCCTGACCTGGCGGGTCAGGACGTCGCGTCACTCTTCTGAGACTCAAAACAAATCCCCTATCTCCCCTGATTCTACACCAAGATTGTGGATAAGAAACAGAACTTGGACCTCAATTTTAAAAGAAGGGAAGGAATTTGGAAAGACAACAGCATTTACATTTAAAGAGGAAAAGTGAACAGCTGGGTTCAGATAGTATCTACAAAGGAAATTTGGTCCTTGGACTGTGGTAGAAAGAACAGAATGATAAGCATTTGAGTTTCATCTTCTAATTCTGACTTTCTGGTTGATCACCAAGCAAGATGATGAATAAATGAATGAAACCACAGAAGGTGAGACGGCAAATGGATGAGTACTATCAAAGCAGGATGGCCATGAGAAACAGTAATGAGTGGTCTCAGAAGAGCACCCCAAGCCAGGACAGGGTGCAGCTCTGCTCAAACAGGGCTCTCTGTGCCCTGCATCCACTCCTTCCTGCTGGCCGCCTTCTTCAGCAGCGGGCTAGAGCTGGCATGCACAGCCCATCCCAGGGGAGAGGAAACCACCAGGAAAGGAAGGCTAAGAGTGCTTCCATCCGGGAGGGAGAGTCATCACCGTGAGCGTAGACAGTGACACACACAACTGCTCATGTCTGGCCACAGGGAAAGAGGTTACTTCCAGCATCCAGCTCCTTGCTCTTCACAGAGAGATGGGCCTAAGAGGACCACCAAGTGCTCGAGCCCAGGTGTCCCTGTACCTCGTATTCAAGTTCTCACAATGCAAACTCAGGAGCCATATAGATAGCAAGCGACAGCTACACTGTTATAAGACTTAACTCTGGTTATTAAACAAACCTGTGTCACAAGGACTTGGTGGCAGGAATGTGGCAGTGAAATAAAGACTAGAA